TATAAACTGAAGCAATTACTATGTCTCCAAAGTCCCTTTCACATGTCTGGCTGTGTCCTCCAATAACTTTTCATTTATTAAGATGTTCAAATCCACAGAAAATAAAAAACAGTATAGTCAGCATCTGCGTACCTCTACCTATACATAATAATGTGAACATTTTGTCATATTTACTTTCTCTCACTTTCTACATTTATGCATGTATTTTCCCTAAACTATTTGAAGGTACATTGAAGACATGATATTTCACAGCTAAATACATCTGCACAAATCTAAGAATAAGGACAATCTCCTGAAAACACAACATTATTCTTGCACCTAAGAAAAGAAAGTGATTGCATATTATTATCTACTGTATTTTCACACATACAGTAACACAAGTGTTAGGTTTCCCAAACTGCATTAGTTTCCTATGCATGTTATATGCATGGACACATTATTTACATGGGTTTATTATATGTGAAAAGTACATTAACAGTACTGTCATCTGATAGTGCACATTCATATTTCTCCATATGTCCCAAAAAGTCTTGTAGAGCTTTCTTTGAAAAAGATTTGTTCATGTTTCATGCATTGCCTTTAGTGGTTCTGTCCCTTTAGTCTCTTAATTTAGAGTGTGTCCCTCCACCTCTTTTTCTTCCCATGATACCAACCAACTTTTGTAAGAGTCCAAGCCAGTTGTCTTATAGAATGTCTCACATTCTGGATTTGTCTGATTGTTTCTTCACTGTGTTGTTTTAACTTCTATTTCTGTCCCATGTATTTCCTTCAAACTAGAAGTTAGGTCCAGAGGTTTTAGATTCAAGTTAAAGAAAAGTCCCATAATTCCTAACTGCTTCACAAAGACAGTTATGATCCTTAGTAGTGATAACTATGACCCCGTACTGATAAGTTCTTGCTGTTTCCTTTGGCAGATGTTAATGTTCGTGTGTCAAGCCTCACACTCTTGGGAGCTATAGTGTCCACTCATGCACCTTTACCTGAAGTCCAGCTACTTTTACAACAGCCTTGTTCTTCTGGACTCAGTAACAGCAATTCAGCAACTCCTCATCTGGGCCCTCCTGATTGGTGGAAGAAAGCCCCCTCAGGACCCTCTCTAGAAGAAACCATAATTAACTCACCAAGGGGGTCTTCGGAGCCGTGCTGGCTCATTCGACTTTGCATTTCCATTGTTACACTGCCCAAGGAGGATTCCTGTTCTGGTAGCGAGGCTGGCTCTGTGGCAGGAAGTGCCTATGAACCATCCCCCATGCGATTGGAGGCCTTACAGGTAGGAGGTTTCATTTCTTCACCTCTGAAGTAGAAGTAACCGTTCCTCCCTCATAGATTGATTGTGAGGAGTGTATGAAAATAATGTAAAGCTTAGCCATGTGCAGGTGGTGGTATTGGGAGTCGACTCGACGGCACATAACAACAACACCAACAAATTTTAGGTGTGGGTAGTTCGTTTATTTTTGTTGTTGTATTATTCATGTATTAAATACATTAATAAATACATTAACTGAAATATAATTTATGTACAGTGAACTACGCCAAACTAAAGTGACATGGGTCAATGCAGTTTTTTTTTTCCCAGTGTTCCTCTCCTCCCCTCCCACCCCTGTAACCAACAAAGAAAGTTTCCTTTCATATATAAATCTTTACTTTTTTAAATTTTATATTTTTATTGTGATTTGAGTGGAAGTTTATAAAGCAAATTCATTTTCCATTTAACAGTTCCTACACATTTTGTTTCACAATGCTGATTGCAGTCCCCATAATGTAACAGCTCTCTTCCCACTTCCTCCCTATGGTTGCCTTTTCCCTCTGTCCTTTCCTATGCATTCTGGCCCTCTGAGCTGTCTCCCTACGCAAATGCTGACTTCTGATCTCCCATGGTTGATTATTCTAAGGAGTGTACCTACCTGCTGTAATTGTTCACCTTGTTGTTGTTAGGTGCTGTCGAGTTGGCTCTGACTCATAGTGACCCTGTGTACAACAGAAAGAAACACTGCCCAATCATGTGACATTCTCACAGTCTTTGCTACACCTGAGTCCATCATTGCAGCCACTGTGTCAGTCCATCTTGTTGAGGGTCTTCCCCTTTTTTGCTGACCCTCCACTTTACCAAGCATGACATCCTTCTCCAGGAAATGGTCCCTTCTGACAAAATGACCAAAGTAGGTGAGATGAAGTCTGGCTATTCTTGCTTCCAAGGAAGCCACACTTCTGGCCACACTTCTTTCAAGACAGATTTGTTTATTCTTCTGGAAGTCCATGATTATTTTCAGTATTCTTTTCCAACACCACGATTCAAAAGCATCAGCTCTTCTTTGGTCTTCCTTATAGGCCTGTCTGTTGTTTTCTGGAGGCCACAGGAGTGAGTTTAGTTCCAGGCCTGAAGAATGACTAGGGCCATAGACTTGGTCTCACCAGTCTCTATCAGACCAGTAAACCTGGTTTTGTTTTTATGATTTTGAGTCTTGTTCCACATTTTTCTCCTACTTTATGCAGGATCTCCTATTCTGATCCCTTCCCAAGTGGTTGACAGTGGTAGCCAGCCATCATCTAGTTTTTCTGGTCTCGGGGTCATGTAGGCTGAAATTTGTATGGTCCACTAGTCCCTTGGACTAATTATTTCTATGCATTTTTTATTTTCTTTATTCTTCTTTGCTCCAGACAAGGAGAGACCAATTGTTGCATCTTAGATGGCCACTTGTAAGCTTTTAAGACCCCTAATCACCAAAGTAGGATGTAGAACAATGTTTTTGTGTAGTATGTATGGGCCCAGTGACTCGTTGTGGCTAAGAAGTCATCATAACTTTGCCCCCTGTTAGCTCTAGTATATATATGGACATTCTTACATAGAAATATGTATGTAGAAATATCATCTACCAAACTTATTTATGGTCATGACTGTATTCCCTTTTGCCAACTCATACCTGATCACTTAGCCTGTCAACCTATGTGTTCTTCAATAGAGTCATGTGTATTACTGATAGTCCACTATTGTGTATGTAAGTGTTTTCCTTTATTGTCTATACCTCTTGTGCACCTCTCTGTGTCTACCTTTTCCTTAGCGTTACTGTGTTGGTCACTTGCTTTTGGTGCATCACCTTTCCCTTCACCCAAATCAATACTTGTTTCTTATGTATCTAACAATTTTCCCTCTCCTCCTCTTCTATCCCTGGTAACCAACAAAGAAAGTTTCCTTCCATGTGTAAACCTTTCCTTGACTTTTTACAATAGTGGATTCATACAATATTTCCTTCTTGATTGACTTATTTCACTCAGCATAATGTCCTCCGAGTTCATCCACATTGTGAGGGGTTTTACTGGTTCTTCATTATTCGTTAGTATTGCATAGTATTCCATTTTGTGTGTATACCATAGTTTGGTTATCCATTCATGTGTTGATGGGCACTTAGGTTGTTTCCATCTCTCTGCTGTTGTGAAAAGTGCTGTGATGAACATGGGTTTGCATGTACCTATTCGTGTCATAGTTCTCATTCTTTAAGATA